AAATAATAAGGCACATTCAGAAATTTGTTTATTATAGTAATACATTTTTTTGGGTGGAATTTACATGTATGTTTCTTTACCTGTATTTTTTTCGGGCGGAATTTACATGTACCTTATTTTACCTGTAGTTCATTTTGGGCGGAATTTACATGCGCCCATTATATGGTACCTATATTATACTTTAAGATGGCGTTGTACACTCGTACCCGTATGTGTTGTCTCCGACTTAGGCACTAACCGCTAACGCAAAATATACCAACATGTACGGTTAGCAGGTCCAACTTTTTTATGTTAGCATAAATACCTATTAGTATAGATTGACTTGCAGGTATCTACTTAAAGGTAGGAATATTATCTATGTTATCTTGTTGGTTCTTTTTTATTTACAATATTTTAATTGAAAAAAGCTAGTTATTTTAAAATGATCATAACTCATTGTTTAATACCAAAGTAGCAAGGGTACTCCACATGTTATAAATTATAATAGTTTTTTTTTCATATTACTTATACTATGTTTATCATTTGGGTTTTCAATTTAATTAATACATTTATTACCTATTAAATTAATTTTATTCTTAGTCTGAAATAGGTAGGCAGGTACTTAATTTATGTATAGCTATAATCATGGTCGGAAATCCATTGACAAAATTGGGGGATAGGCCGGATAGGGGGCTACTATTTTTCAAAAGAACTTTGCCTCTTCACCATAACTGTTCTACTTTTTAAGAAGGCTTGATGGACTTTCGGAGGGCTTAGCCCTCCTCCCCCGATTTTCGCCTATGGTGGTAATTGGTTATAGTTTTTAAAACTATAATAGGAACTCCATTCATACCTACGTATAGTTTAATACTTTCAGGTTCTTTCAGACTTCATCTTGTTAGTTATTAATTAATTATTAAATATTTTAATGTTTCAGAGAAAAATATTTACTAGTGACAAACAAATCTACTGAAAAAGACAAAGAAACTGTAGTTACAACTGTTCAACATGAATTGTCACATCAGTGGTTTGGTGATCTCGTAACATGTTCTTCGTGGAATTATGTTTGGTTAAATGAGGCTTTTGCCACATTATTCGAATATTTTGCAGTTCATGCGGTTAGATAATAATAATGCAATTGATTTTTTTCGTTTATGAATCAATATTAATAGAAGAATAATTGTTCAATGGTTTCTACAGGCAGAACCTGACTGGCGTATTGGAGATCTATTTGTCATTGAACAACATCAAGAAGCATTAGCCTACGATCATAGACCACGTCATCCAATCACAGCTAATGTCAATAGTCCAACAGAAATCGAAGATATTTTTGATACAATTACTTACAACAAAGGAGCTTCAGTGCTAAGAATGTTAAACCATGCATTGAATGATGATATATTTAGAACATCTTTAACATCATATTTGAATACTTATAAGTAAGTTTTAAAAACCTAGGATAGTGAGATATATAATTGCAATTGGTTATTACTTGTCCATAATAAATATTCATTAGAGTGAAAGCTAAAAATCTTAGACACGTTTGTAGAATCTCAACTATAGTAATTCATTAGGTTTATCATAATTTTAAATATCAATGAGTGCTCGAATAGGTATGAAATCGTAGGTATGTATATAATAATAATAGGATCAAAATGTATTAAAATGTTGACACAGACACACCTATAAACCTAATCTCTTGAGCTGTATCTACCTAACTGTTATTTTATAATAGTACTTGCCTATATATTGAAATATTGAAGGTTATAGGTACTAGGTAGGTAGGTAAGTATGTAGACTATAGAGCTCTTATCTTAAATTTAAAAATTTTACATGTAATATCTTGAGACATAATATAAGTATAGATAATACACGTACCTAAATATAGGTAGGTCGTAGGTACTTAATAAAGGCGTAAAGGTTCCATGATACCTATATTATTATAACATTTATTATATGTCTGCATAGGCGCAAATAGGAGGGGGCTGGGGGGCTTAGCCTCCCTAGAATTACTATAGCCCCCCCTAAAATAAATTAAAACAATTTTTGTACTTTCGTAGGGGTTTTGTCATAGGTAATGTAAAAGGATTATAAGTGTATCCAGTTATAGAGACAGAGCTACCCCTTCAAATTTCTAACATTTTTTCCGCCTATATGTACCTACGTTTGTCTAGACCAACTTGTCCACCAAACTATCCTAGTAATATTTTAGTATATTATAATTATCATTTTAAGTTAGATAGATTATACCTGCTTAACCTATGATGATTTCAGATTTGTTACCCAATGTAAGACAATTATATTAACTTGATAACTATTTTTTCTTTACAAATTAATGGACTGTTGTTGTTTACTTTTAGGTATAAAGCTGCAGAACCAAAAAATTTATGGAATTCATTTGACAGTGTAATATTTGACGCAAATTATAAATCAGGAATATTAGGAAATACAATTACTGTCGAAGAGCTTATGAGGTCGTGGACTGATCAACCAGGATATCCTGTAATAAAAATTGATACACAGAGTCCCAACTATATCGCTGTATCCCAAGTATGTTGTATCTATATAATTATTAAAATTATTCAATAATATTCATAATATAGGATACAGGAGTAGGTAACTAGTGGAAGAACTGACCAACAGTGTATGCACGGGTTGCCCCGGCGGATACTTGCTTTTTCAATAAATGTAATATCAATATTATTGTAGTATGTAGACATAAATCATTTAATGTAGTATAATGATAATAGATACCTATACAAATTAATTGGTAGATACAATATTTATGTGGCACTCTAGTACTCTACCATACCTATACAATATATAGGACATAGGTGTATATAGGTACCTACTATATATAGGTAATATTATGTAAGTGCATTTTAAATTATCATTTTCTATACACATTTTCAAAATATTTAGGCTCAAATATGCAAATGTATACCCATTTCATTACCAAACAATTTTTGATTTTTTCATTAACCTTGTAAATTGTAATTTTTACTTAGTAGGTAGGTAGAACAAGAATAACTAGGAAAATATGTAAATATATGAATAAGTGTTGAATAAATGAACTTCCCCTGCCATGGTGTCTGACCATACCTATCATAATGTTTGATGTATATACCTACCTAAGTACCAATAGTCAACCCTCTAAACCTAATTAATCATTTAAATGGCATTAAAATAATTATTTCTACAGAAACAATACCAAGTGGATGTACCTAAATTAAATCCTACCACTTTGTGGCATATTGGTCTCACATATACTACCCAATTACACAAACAATTTAATAATCTTCAACCAACTGTGTGGATGAATAATACACAAACTGAACTTAGTATACCACTTTTGGTTGATGAAGGATGGGTAATATTTAATCTTCAATCAACAGGTGAAATTTTATTTAATATCTACTGCATCTATTTTGCAGATCATTTTTATAAAATTGATAAATGATTGTATTTTCTTAAAGGTTTTTATAGAGTTAATTATGATTTAAAAAACTGGAATCGACTAATTGCCGAACTGAAGTCCAACCACAAAACAATACACGTCCTTAATAGAGCTCAACTGATTGACGATTCGTTCAACTTAGCAAGAGCAGGCGAATTACCCCACTCTATACCGTTTACTTTAGTCACTTATTTACAGAAAGAAGATGATTTTATTCCATGGTACTCAGTGTTAAACAGCATGTCATACATTGTAGAAAGATTAAGACGTTGTCCACATACAGGGGCTCAAGTACAAGTAATATAACTTTTTAGTTTTTTTAAATCATATTTTTCTAACATATTAAATATAATAAAAAATGTTATAAACCTTAGGATTTTGCAAAAACATATGCGGAAATAGCATATAAAAAAGTCAGTGAAAAATACGAGAAAAATGACGGTAAACACTTGACGAAGACTAGTATGCAAGCATTCTCTAATTGGGCATGCAAATTAGATGTTGAATCATGTGTGAAATCGTCTTTAAACTATTTTGACGAGTGGGAAAAAAATGGAACAGAGTAATCTATAAATTGATTAATAAGTACAATCATAATTTGTTCAAAATGAATTATTTTGTTTACTCTCAATAGAATACCGCCAGATGTAAAGGAAGCAGCTCTATGTAGTGGTGTTAAAAATGGAACTGCTGAAACATGGAATAAAGTTTTTGAGTTATTTAAAAAAACATCATCAACCTCAGAAAGACAAGCATCACAATTAGCATTGGCTTGTAGCACAAATAAAACAATATTGTCCAAGTAAATATTAAATATTGATAAAATATAAACATGAAATAACTAAATTCTAGTATCAAAAATAATATCCATTGTATTTTAGGTATTTAAACCTTTTACTCGATGCTGATTGTCCAATACGCCCACAAGACTATAAAACTATGTTTAAATCAATGACATCTACCCCAGTTGGTATTAATGTAACAACAGACTTTTTACAAAACAAAATCAATGAATCTCTGAGTAATATGTGGGAAGGTGAAGAAATGATTATGCTTATGTATTCATATTTGGCTTCAAGTGTTGCAACGACAAAAGAAATTAATGAGGTATATTAGGCATATTATTAAAATATGGCAACAAAAATGTTGCCTTAATGATAAAATTGTATGTTTCATAAGACAGCACATGTTTTAATTGATGCTATTTTTATAATTATTTTTCTAGATAAATGCAATCAGAAGTTTTACTTATTTATCACCAACACTGAAAGAATCATTTGATGATTCATACAAAGAAGTGGAACTCAATTCAGCTTATTTTGAGAGGTGCCATCCACTTATGCACGAATGGTTCAATCCAACCAGTCCAACTACCATAGCACCATCCAGTGCAATTTCAAACTCATACCAGTACATTAATGTTATTGTTTTATCTTTGCTTTTTGTTACAACACTAATAAATACTAATTATTTCAATGTTATACAATAACTAACAATGTATGTATTAGTTATTAATTGTATATTGATGTATCATTTGTATTGTTAAAAAAAAAAAAAAAAACAATAAAAGTTATTAATTTTTAATTTGTAGTTTAAATTATCTCCCAAAGTTTTAAACTAACATCAGTGTTTTTTAATATTTGTTCATCTTCATCATTTTCTTCATTGTGCCTTTGTCCAGATGTTGTTGCTAATAAAGGAAGGGTTGGATGCAGACTGAAAATAGTTAATGTTACTAATTAATAACAACATATAATAAGGTCTTTTTTTTCCTAAATAAAACATTTATCAACAAAATTTGAAAAAAAAAATGAAATGAGTGTCTTACATAAAAAAAAAATGTAATAGTTTTCTATTATAATTTATCATTAGTTATTAGTACTTATTACCAGAGACTGTATTATATTATATTTTCATTAAGTATCTATTATTACTAACCTGACACCATTGACACAATCATTATGAACAGAAATTTTAGAATTTAAAGAAAGAACACTTTCTACGCCATCAAACTTTTCAATATTCTGGTCTAATTTCCAAGTACTAATTTCACCCGTACAATTACCTAAAGATATTAATATTAGTGATATTAATGATATTTTATAACTGTTAAGGCTTACAAGTAATTTATATATATATAAATTAACATACACAGGTAACAGTTATTGACATTTTGAAAGTTTATTTATGCAAAGGCAAATCACCTTCTTTATGAATAGTTATTTTTAAATTAGATGGTTCTACCTGAAACTAAATATTGTCCATCCGATGAAATGTCAAAACAAATTCTTTGATTAGTAGTCACTGTTCTTTCAGCAGAATATAGAGTTTGACCAACATTCCTTAAATCCCAACACACAATATCATTATCACCTTTTCTGCTCCCCGAATATAATTTCAACCCATCAGGTGAAAATTGTAATTGGGTAATTCCTGACTTATGTCCCCTTAAGATGTACATAAGTTGATTACCACCGTATATCCCTAGGCAAAATCTTTGGTTAAATACACAATATTACAGTAATAATAATTTTAAAGAAGAACTCACCAATATCTTTACTATATGTACCCACAGCAAAAATACTCCTGTCTACTGGATTCATAGCTATGGTCGATATGATTGATCTATGCAAATCTGCTTTAGTAGATATTTCAATAAATTCACGTCCCGGACGGTCAGTACGAAAGATATTTAATTTACCATAACTACCACAGTAAATTTCTTCTCCAGACCAGTTAAAGCATAATGAGTTAACATGTGCAACTTCATCAACACTATTAGAAAATACATATTAAGATTAAAATAAAATTTGTCCAAATTAATATTTTTATACAACAAGGGGCATTACAATGGCAATATGATGACTTATAAGTTTGAAATTCATCAAATAATAAGTCTTATCAGCTTTTGTAAGTAACAGCACTTAGGTTAAGTAAAAAATTATCTTCATGTAACATGTAAATCTTGTTATATGTTAAATGTAGGTAATTAAAATTTATTAATGTAAAGAAACAAATGAACATACTGATCATATACTCTATATGTTGCTTCTAATTGTCCATCAACAGCATTCCAAAGGTGAATAGGTGATCGACTGCTAGTACTCAAAATTCTGAAAATATGATATTAGTTGACACTGATTATATATTTTATATTAATTGATTTAATATTTTAGTTTATATACATTTACTAACAACTTAACGCTATCACTATTTTGCACAGTATTCGGGTACCATACATAATCGTATATAGTACCACCTTCTTTTATCACATTGACTTTACGAAGTTGTTTTTTACATTGATCTGTTTCGTCTGTTTCAATATTGAAAATTCGAAGTCTTCTGTCTTCACTATTTGTTAAAATACTCAGACCATCAGCAGACCTTTTGTAATAATAAACTACATTAAGAAATGTGTATTATTAACAAAACTATTAACAATTAATTGTTTCACCATTTGCATCCTTTTAAACATTGTTGAAATTCTTTGTCATTCACGAGGAAATCATCAGAGCACGAACAAATGAGTTGTAAATCCTTAAAATGGATAGGTTGATTGATTTCCAAAATGTTTTCTTGAGTATCCATCAATGGGTCTATAGTCTGTACTCACCAGTTTAAATATTGTACATAAAACAAAGTACCTAGGTAGTTACAAGTAATATTATACAATTTGAAATTTAGTCTACTATTAGGATATGACTTTATGAGTTCAACAATAAACAATAAAATATTGTATACATTTCAGGTACCTACCTCCTAAATCTCAATTTTTACGAAATTCTTATTGGTATGAAAATGTGTACCTTATGTTTTTATATGAATAAAATGCATTGATAGGTAACAATTTTTTTTCTTCGACTTTTTTAATGAATATTGAACTGTAATATTTATGTTTCAATTGAAAAACGACAAGCGTTATAAAATATAAGATCACGGAGTATAGATGTCGTTAGATGTTGGAATTAGAATATTAAGCCGACTAGCCGAGACGGGAAAATTGAATGGGACAATTTTCAAAATGTAGATAAGTGATAACTTGTGTAGTTTGATATGATAACAACGGCTCTATTATCTGTGTAGTAAACGTACCACAGGCTACAGGCATACTACAATGAGGTCTTTATAGATCTGTCGTTCATGAAACATACCTAAATATCTATAGGCTGTCGCTGTGCTCTAGAGCAGCGGTTCTCAAACTTTTTTTTCGCGTACTACTCATGTGTATTATTAATCTGTCGCGTACTACTATGTCTATTTCCATGTGACCATGTTAAAACCCAATTTAAAATATTCATTTATTTACTCTCCGTTCTATCACTTTGTGGCCTTTTGAGTACCGACATGTAGTCATCCGCGTACCATAGTTTGAGAACCTCTGCTCTAGAGTATAGGGTTTTAAGTGGATAGCCTAGGCCCTAGATAATCTAGATGGCTAGGCTTTCTAGTTTTAAGTATTAAATATAAGGTCTATGGTAAATATCAAGATCTATAAATAAATCTATTCTTTTCGAGGCTAAGCTGAATATTTTATTGGCCAACCCGCATCGGCTCCATCTATTTCGTTCAGGTAAACTATGCTTATTAAATTGGACTTGTTGCGAATGACAATAAAACCTACTAATATTATATAGTGATAGGTAGGTATAGGTATATTTAGGCCTTAGGGCTATATTTAAAATAATTTGCCACCTTGGGGTAACAAAAAAAAACTCATTATACCGAATAAAAATATAATATACCTAGCTTAAAAACTTGAGATTTGAATATTTGATCATAACCAACCACCCGGGGCAACCATACCCCACCCCCCCCCCCAATATATCCCTGGGTATATTATTTGTTATAAATATTCATAATCATGTTTCACAGAGCTTAATAAATAATATAATTTAAAAATGATACGTGTGCTTAAAATAAACATGAAAAGTAGAAAAATGCTTCGATTTTAAACTTCAAGGGTGGTTTCTGTTAGCAAATTGGGTCCAGTTGGAAACCAGTTTTTGACAAAATCGTTATTGTTTCATTGGTGTAACTCAAAAATAAAAAACCGTAGAAACTTCACATTTCAACACAATTTCTTGATGCTTTTTGGGCTACCTATACTCAAAACATTTGAAATTTTTTATTTTATTTTGTTTTTTTACTTTAAACGTCGGGAAAAATTATTTTCACTTTGTGAAAAACGTTGAAGATTAAAAGAACGTTCCTCGTCAGTTCTCGATATATAGTGGGGGTTATGGTTTAAGTACGAAAATTCCCGATCGGTCTAGTCACTAGACTCTAGTGTCAGTCTACATCAAAGGATAGCCACGCTTCTGCAGTGTGAACGTATATAAGGCAAAACTCGAGTGTAATTAAAATCTACTTAATTTTATAAATTGTTTTAAATTTTAATGTACGAGTACCTGACTTAAAACCATATTATGTCTACACATTTTATCGATTGTCTATCGATGTTTAATTTGTCTGATTTTATCGATACTTTGTGCACTATCGAATACGAGTGATTAAAAAATTACTCGATAGGTAGGTACCTAGTCGATAGTAGTTTAGAAGGTACTTATGTATCCTTTCAGACTTCAGTAATAAGTTGTAGTATTCTATATATATGCTATATTGTAAATAATTACTACTGTTTTACTGACGTACTGTCTACTAGCTTCAGAGTGTCTTGTTTTACAATAACTACACTATATACTGAGTATAGTGACAATATAACATTAGAATCTACCTATAATATATAATCTCTACAGGGGCGTGCCTAGGGGGGGGACTGGTTGGGTGTTACCCCCCTCACCACCGAAAAAATTCTAAGCACACCCCTGAGTCTCTATGCAGACTGCAGAGTATATTATAATTTTTAAACTGAAGTCATTACTGGTTGCCGTGATTGGCCAATATCAAACGGGAAAGTTCGCAATTTGAAATGTATCTAATAATAATACTTTGTTTGAAATTTGATTAAATCTATGTTGGTTATAGTGTTGTAATTTGTAACTCCCTTAACTTTTTTTTATGAACTTAATAATTGATGTAGGTAGGTATTACTCCGCAATCCGCATTAATATTGACTCTCAAATAACTTATACATTTTTGAAGTGTTCTAAAAACTAAGATGTCTTATGAGGTAAATGCATCATTAGGTATCGGTGGATTACCACCTATTACTATTAAATAGCAATCAGTGCTCAGCGGCACCAAACTTATAAAAATTCAGGATAGTTGAACAAAAAAATAAGTAAATTTGTAGTTTGCATACAGTTTTAAATCGTGATTTAAAAATTAGAACGAGTTATTTTTAAACGGTCGAGGAAGTTGTTAATTCCAATTCAGAACTAATATTGACAATCGATTATTGTCACACAATCGATGCTATTAGTCGGTCACAATTATCATTATACACAATTCTGTAAGCAAGTTGTAACTATAAAAATTAATCGCAGTAACACAAAACTACTTTAGCCGCTCTCATCTAAATATGAAGTTCTACTAGTTTTAGGGTTTATTTTAATTTTTTATCCAACGAAAAATATTATGGATTTAAAATATATTATATTATTTGTTACATATTTTTCTAGGACATCATCAGAAAAACCAGTAAAAATACTTGGCTTAAATGAAGGTACGTACGAGATATTTGTTTTAAATACTTACATGATATTATTATGCATTATTATATTATGTATAAACAAAAGTGAGCCGTCCCTGATGGTTGACAACTTGAAACTTAAAAAAAGCTGGTATAAGTGGATGTCGCTCTGCTGTACAGTAGGTTACAAGTGGGCCACTGTAATGGATGGTGTTAAATTTAAATTAAATGATATAAAATCATTGTATATGAAAAACGATTCTGAGTGAAGACCGTCTGTCAGTCTATAATATTACTTAGTAATTGAGTATATTTAATTATATTATTGTGATAATAATTTATTTTACTAGTAAGCATTAGTAAATACTACGCAGTACATTAAATTCATTTTTGCCCGAGATAAATACAGTTGAAAAGTCATCATGTGTACAAAATATAATAATATACTTTAAAAGTTTCAAGTTCTCATGAATAATATTTTTTAATTTACAACAAAATAACATATACCTATATTATTATTCTTGATTATATAATATGTAATTTCGTCCAAATTTGAGCATAAAAAAACTGTTCTTATAAATTTTTGGATTTTTTGGTTATAGAATAACCTACTTGAATGGAACATTGTTTCAAATGTTCAACCCTTAGCTATAAAAGTTGAACATTTTAAAAATTGTTAACTATACAATTATTATTTGTAAATTTTGAATGATATGAATTATGTCAACATTTGAACTTTTAATGCTTATAAAAATAAACCTATGTAATTTAAAAATGTTTTTCAACTGATATTGTAAATATATATCAGGAACCTTGTATTTTCAAGCTTTCCGACCCAACAAATAAAATTGTATTGACAATTAAAGAAAAAATCTAAAAAAATTGAAAATGTCCGTAAACAGCTCAAACGAGTCAAAATATTTTGAACATTTTATCAAGTGTATGAATTTATAATATAAACATAAGGTGTATATTTCAAATATCTCCAGTTATTCGTTTTTGAATTACGAAAAAATAAGAAAATCGCTTTTTTAGAAATTAGGTGAATATAAACTTCAAACCCTCATTAAAATTTAATTGGACTTTCCTTTGATAAAGGTATACAAACTTATAAGGAATATTGTATTAAATTTTCTCGAGTCTTACAAATTTTGTCAAATTTTCTAAGTTCAAACGCTCATAAAAAATTATTTTGGTTTTACGATCAACTTTTTTTAAATTTCCTATAACAAAATCTTACTAGTAACCGTGTATTACATTTTCAAGTTTTTGACTAAGAGACAATTTTTTTGTCGACATTAGTTTAAAAAAAAAACAAATAATAATCAAAAAAAAATAATCAACATATAAAAGCACGTCATATCACTGTAAAATCAATACATTCATTTCTCCGCTCAGATCCGCTCAGAATCTAAAATTTAATAGGAGAAATGGGATATTTTTAAAATTGTAGCTGATTTTTATTTTTAGGTGATACATGTAAAAAAGGCGATGTATTGAATTCAGATCACTTATGTAAGCGTGTTGAAAACTGTGAGTCCCTAAAATTAATGACCGCAGATAAAATATATCCTGATTTATGTTCGTATAATGGACATGAATCAGATCCAATAATTTGCTGTCCACCTGCAACTGTTCAAAAAATACAAGTTTTAAATGACTTGACGGATAAAAGACTACGCATTGTTAACGAAAGTATTGGCAATTTTATTAATTTTTTTTTTTTGTTATCATAATATGCAAATATTCATATAGTACCTAAATTATTAATGTATAGAGTGCCTTCAGTATTCCGGGTTGATGAAAAAGTTAAAAAAAGAGAAAACTAGTTTGACAGAGTTAATGGAGTCTAAAGTTAGGAGCCTGAGAAAGAGAGACACTCACGTAAGTTTTTCTCTACGTCGTGGTACTGTGGATTTATAATGTATCTGTCTGACTGTACTTATTTATTATTGATCATTGATTTGATTGTTAGCCTTTCTCGGTCAACTGTGAAGAGGATTTAAAATCTTCAGTAACGAATATTGTCGAAGAAAAATACCAAAATTTTACTAACAAATTACAATTCAAGGAAGTTATTTCATATAATATTCCATTGGCTAAACCAAAGGAATACCCACACATGGTACGTATCTAAATTTTTGAAATTCCAAATTTAATAATTAGGTATTAAACTTTATAGTATGAATAAAAGCAGGTTTATTACTTTTAGGCGATAATTGGTTTCGGGGAAAAGCCGGAAGATGGTATGTGGGGTTGTGGAGGTTCGCTGATAAGCGAAAGATGGATTTTAACAACCGCGCATTGTCAAAGAATGAGTGCTCGGTAAAGTTCTAGTACAGTAGCTACTTATATTATTATTTATTTGAAATAGAAACATCGCATTAAATCACTTTTAAAGTTATAAATTATAAACATACATACATATCTATTCAGGGTGGTTATTTTACCGAGAACCAGGAATATTGTTAACGAATGACGAATCTAGGTTAAAATCGGTAAACCCCGATAAAGCATATAATATACTTCTTTAGTAGCACGTTATAACATACGACATTTTGAACAGAAACTTGGATTAAAATATTAATTCAACTGAATATAATCATATAAAATCACAACATATGAATTACCTACATTTGAATAATATAATTAATCTTTATTTCTTTTTTTTTTGAACACGTGTTTGTATGTGTGGCAAGGATGTGTTCCTAAAACCCGGGTGGTCACCCATCCGAGTGCTAGTTACGACGACTGTTGCGTACGCTCAGAGCGTTGCCGCAAATTGATTGTACGACATCGCCTCACCAAGCAGCTTTTTTTTAGGTGTTATTTATAGTTACACTATAAAAATAATGTTATTAATTTATTATTATTTTAAATTCTGAGCGGAACGATTGTTATTTTTTTAAACAGGCCATTTTTTTAGTATTTAATATGTACCTACTTATCTTATATTATATTCGTTGGTTGTTTTCATCCTACATTTGTTATCCGTTGATTATTTTGACCTTGGAAATTTTGATTTGAATATTTTAGTTTAGGATATTTCGTCATTGAATATTTTTTTCCCGAAATTATATTAAATATACAAGGAATTTTTAAATTATTTTTTTTTTTAATGTAAAATATGTATATACATACTATGTTTTCGATTTATCCATTATTATTATGTATTTATAAAATAAATAAAAAATTTCCCTGTATTTTCTAAAATATGAGTTGATTGTTAATGATAAAATATTCACTCTGTGTTATCTTAAATACAGTGGCGCAACCAGGAGCCAGGAGGGTGTTCTCATGTCTAAACCCCCCTTTATGGATCGTATTATGTATTACTAATACTTATATATCAGCTTTTTTTCTTTAATTGAATTCTCTATATCTATCTATGTGTTAAAAACAACTATGGATCCAACCCTCGAAAAATAAATTGTGGTTGTGCTACTATATATTTATATACACACGTGTCTGTTTGCAGAAATACGGCGCGTTGGGCACGATTAGGAGATTTAAACATAATCTCAACAACAGACGACGCTCGACCGAAAGACTATCGAATTGTGCGGCACGTCATACATCCGTGTTATAAACCACCTTCGATGTATGATGACATAGCTCTGTTCCAGTTAGAAAAAAACGTCGAGTTCTCCGATTACGTAATGCCGATCTGTCTTAATTCAGATTCATTTTTAGAACCACAAATGCAAGTAGCTACTAGTTGGGGAAAATCTTCTTTGGGTTAGTGTGAATATGCATACTTATAATGTTTGAAATAGTAAAATACTTCTAATATATTATGCTTGTCAACCTTCTAAAATTCGATTCGAATTTTCAGATGCTTATACGATTAGCGACAATTTGTTAAAAGTAGAACTGAATATCATTCCCGGGAGTATCTGCAACGGTACTTATGCCTCATTTTTATCTGCCAGTCATAAGCTAAAATACGGCATATTAAACGACAGAATGATCTGTGCGAGCCCTTTGAGAGGCACTACCGACGTTTGTGGAGTATGATATTTATTGTTTAATATCATATAGGTAGGGATTTGCACGAAAAATGTATTTAAATAGATTTATCGAATTTTCTAGGGAGATTCTGGAGGTCCGCTGCAATATAAACACAACGGTTCAAGCTTGCATACTCAATACGGAATAATATCATTCGGAAGATTATGTAGTGAAGATACACCGGTAGTGTACTGTAGAGTATCAAAATATATTTCATGGATTGAAAATATCGTCTGGCCTTAGATCGAAGTTGAACAAAATAAAATAAATCATGATTCGCGTAATTGGATTATTAAAACGTAAAGAATTATTATGTTTGAGATAAATGTTAATTTTTGAAGGTAGGTGTGAATATTTGTTTCTGACTATGTTTTTTTTACATTAATTAACCGTTAAAACATATTTATTGACAAATCTATTTTGTATAAATCTAAAATAAAATTATACTTCGATGATCCACTGTGCATGCTCACTCCCATTTATAAAAAATAATAATATTTTATTATTCATGCACTAATTAGAATCATATTTTTTGAAATTGTATAATACATTAAATAAAAACATCTTGTGATACAAATCCTTTTTTCCTGTAAATTGATAAGTAATTTGTTAACTGTTTTGAATCTCAAACTAAATTTGAATGCGGGGGAAGTGATGATTTTAAAATTATAGTAATTAAATAATACTATCATATTTGTATTTTATGATTTGTAAAAATTGCTGAATAACAGACTAAATATTACATATTATATTTTATTAAAATATATTATTAAAGACTATCATCATAAGGACATAAGAGTATACAATTTAATTGGTAACTGAGATAGCCGTACTCGTTTGAATTTTGATTTAATTAGTAATCAGAAATCACAGATGATTTCCTCGTGTAATGAAATAAAATTGAGAGGAAGACTACTTTTAAGGAAGGGACTTCAAAATGGTATTAATATATTCATGATATTATACATAATACATTCAATATATATTGCAAATAATGCCAGGCTCTGGTACGATTTTGAAGTAGATACCTAGTTAGTTACATATATCTAAGGATTGAGAGGTGCTGCCTCGCCCTAATCTTATTTTCTCAGACTGGGGAATACCGAATAGTAGATATTTGCAAATTATTTTGAGTAAGCGTGACTGCGTGAGGCATGTTATAATAAAGTATACTTTAACATAGTAACAATGAGTATATTATACATTGTAAATATTATTTTCTTGAATTACGTGTTTACAGAAAATTAATACTATAATGAAGTTGTTTATATTTTTTAACGCAACAATCTTAAATTCTGCGAAACGCAGAAAACCTGTTTGATCTGAACACAAACGTAAAAGTGGTGGGATATAAATTATACATAATATATATTTATTATCCGTGATGTATACTGTATATAGTAACGTAAAGTTAATTATTATAATATTCAATATTTTACTTCGAGATACGGATGTAATGAATCGATAAATTATTTACTATAATAATATAGGTAATCATTAAAAATATATTTAGGTACTTAAAATCGTATGAATCAGTTTTTCGTTAAATAAAATAGATGTCTAAGAAAGACCGCTTATTTTAACTACAAATCGCAAATTTATCCAAAGGTGCCATTAACGCTCGATCGTGATTCCCACTCCGGACATGTAAGCGTGGTGCGAGCTGTTGAGCTTGCAAAAATATTAACCACCACGACTTCGATACTACTTAGTAAATAGTGCGTATTAGTACCTACTGGCCCTATAATACCTTTTTTTTTTTTATAACATATTCTTGCGTATCATACGACGTGTACCTAACTATCGATAATTTATTTTTCGAAAATGGAAAATAATCGATTATTTAAAGTTTTAATAAGTAACATTATATTGATCATCTTTTGTGTTTTCAAGACATCATCACAAGTAGTTGTACAAAATCTTGGCTTGGATGAAGGTACGTCGATTTGCTTTAAGAGTTAAGTGTCTATTATACACATTGATTAATGTACAACAAATTTAATACAAATTACAAGCATTATAAAATGAGATTCATCGTTATTACTGGCGATGACAGTCGAAAGCTCATCAGGTCTTAGGCCGTCGGGGGGTGCTCTGAAGCGGGCCACGTATTAAAATATTATGTACACAATACACAGAGTGCCAGTTTCAGCTTATAACTTGTATTAGCTTTTAATCATCAATAAGCTATCAATTAATTTAAGTTTTGAGAATCTTAAACATATTGAATGAAACGATAATTTGCTTACCTAATTTAATGTTTATATGGTTTACCTACCTGATCTCGAATAATTCTATGGAAGTTCTATTTTTAAGAATATCCAATTTATACTCGTTGTAATTTAGGACATTACGGTACAGTGTGTAGATATTATTAACCGGTAACTTATATTTTTAATATTGTTACCTAATTGTTATAATTATGCATGTATTCTACATCTTAAATCCAATGACCAATTGCTAACAACTGTATAAATAATAATATAAAAAAATAATATTTATAGGGATTACATTTAGACACTGTATGTAAGCTTAAATTACGGCACAGTATGTTTTTAATGATAAAAAGACATCCCGGCCGCCTACGACTTTTTTGGGATAGTGGGATAGTAGGATTCTGGTATAGAAGTATAGGTTAGATTTCACTCCCGATAAATTTTTTAAAGCTCACATCCCCCCCCCATATTTTCTAAAAATATATTTTAATAGGAATTTATTTTTAGCAGTTCAATTTTTTCTTGGTTTACTCATTTATTATTATTATAGTACTTTCCATTGTTTCAAATAGACAATGATCAAAAATATACATCTATAATTTACTATATGGTCATAATCAAATATATTTTTTATAGATATGGGGGAAAATTACTGCATTAAAAATATATATCAGTGAAATATGTCCTACATCACCGAGAATTGAGGGGAATTGTTCACGATTCGTTTGTGAGCTTAATAATAAATATAACAACTTAAAAGACTATTTTGGAGTATTTTTTTTTATTGATTTCAAGCAATAGTTTATTGTAACTACCTATGTCGAATATATTCTGAAAATAGGTATTAAAAATAATAACCGGATATCATGAAGAACACTGAACTCGTTGACCTTAATTAATTTGAAGTACACTTTACTTGTAGTAACACTTAAGCAACTTCTTGACAGTTTTGTTTGTGTATATTTTTCATGGTTTTATAAAAACATATATGTTTATAATATTATAAAACATAATTTCGTATTTAAATTGTGTTGAGTTAAATACTTATAAGCCCGGTTAATATAGTAGGTAACAATTTAATTTCTGTAGACTAATTATCACAGGAAATAGAATATAGAACTATAGTAGGTACATAAGTAACGCTACATTGGCATATTTTGTTGTCTTTGTCTTATTTGTGCGCAATATAGCAAATTTAAGTACAGAAGATCACTTTTAGTTTTGTTGGTTTAAAAATTAGAGTGAATATTATACTTGATGGAAAGAAAATTATCTTTGCCTGAATGTGGGTTGTGAAGTTCAAATTTTAGTGAGTTTTGCTTGTAAAAACGTAATTATGTTTTATTAAAACTCTAAATCAAAGAATATTTAAATTTTAAATTTATTCCAGGCACAATTTAAATGTATAGGATATAGATGTTCCTAAATTTAAGATACATCAACAGGTGCAGAGTCCAGGGATGCAGTAGAAACTAAAATTCAAATCTTTGCACTCATCGAGTTTAAAGGAATTGAAATATAAAAATCAGTGGTACAGGTGTCGAGTGCATAGCTTTATGCTCAACTTTTTTTTTAATTTCTAGTAAAAAAAACGTACGAGGAAATTCATATGCTACTTTCATCATTTCAATCACCAACAAATATTTTTTTATACATATAATGACGATTTTAGATGCCTAAATGCAATACCAATCAGGACGAAGAAATAAACGAGGAGAAAAGAAATATATGTCTGTCCACTATATCATACCTACAGGCTACAACTTAAATATGGTATAGATTCTAGTCATATAGATGACTAGTATGTAAAAGGTGTACAATGGTTTGGTGTTAACTAATATTGTACTTTTATAAAATTCGTATGTTTAGTAAAGAAAACTTAAGAATAATCTGCTTGGAAATAATGAAAGACATTTAATATAATAGGTATATGGTACTTAAATTATTTTGTACTTTATGTGATTTATGATTTATGATTAGCATTAAGTCACTGTTTATCATCTTGTATTTTATATTTTATAATTTGATGCTGTATTTAGTTGTGTATTATGTATTTTTCTTTAAACTTCCCAAATTGTGTAACTAGAAACTACCCATCATACATAATGCATAAATACTGAATATTTGTTTAGTTAAATTATATATTTTTTAGGTGACATATGTCGAAAGGGCCGAACATCAGAACAAGATTATGTGTGCAAGAGTGCAAGAAATTGTAATACTTTCCTAGAAAGTATTAGAACTAATAATCATCTTGACATATGTAAGTTCGTTGTTTTAGAACCAATAGTGTGCTGTCCGGCGATGACTAATGAACTGATAATTGAATTACCAGAAAGTAATAATGAAAATTCAATATCTGCCGATAAAAGTACGAATGCACATAGAGCAGTATACCAATTTTTATTAATTATTATGAATTTTAGACTTATATGTAGCAGTAAATATCTGAATTCAGTTAAAAGTAGTTTCTTACTATTTTTATACAGGTATAGTTTTAATAACACACATTTTGCTTTAAATTTTTTCTGTCACAGTGACAATAAGATCAAATCCCTTGGCACATTAGATATATATGTTACATGCATTGTAGAAAATCTAGACATTCTATACATTTCCCATGAATTTGTTGGCTATATTATTAATAATTTACACATTTTTTATACTGCCCAGTCCTTTGAAAATGGTCAATGTGAACTTGTGTTAAATAATAATAACATGTTTTTTTGTTGCGTGAAAATTTAAAAACCATCGAAACCGCCATTCACATTTCATCTTCAATTTCCTATTTTAGTTTGTTAAGTATTGTAATGTCGGTAGAGAATAACTACGATAAGTGATAGTGATTGCTTGTTTTTGATTCAGATCAGCTTTTAAGGAAATAATAAAGGGTGTGAACTAAGAGTATTGAATGATTTGAATGTACTCGGTAATAGTTTTATATTTTGACTGTAACATAAAATCACAACTCGTCAGATCGTTTGTGATATTGACATAAGTATAATATACTGTTTAAACTCATGATTAACTATAAAGTATCATGATTATGAAATTACTTTAAATCAATATTTTATTTAGGGCTTCTTCATCTAACAAATGTTAACAATCAAATGATTTACAGAATGTCATGAATATTTCAAATTAAAGCAAGCAATGCAAAGTGGGGCTCCATTTGAGTCTCAGTTACCTCCATTGTCAGTTGTGGGTGGTATACCAGCCAACATAAAACAGTTTCCACACATGGTAATCTCGAATCATAAATGCTATCAAAATCAAGATTGATATAATATCATACTATTCTTTATTGTTGTAATTGTTTAACGGTAGGCGCTAATAGGATATGGTGACACAACAGCAGATGGAGAGGATTGGAGATGCGGAGGTTCGCTGATAAGCGAAAGGTGGATATTGACTGCAGCGCACTGTCAACAGAGTTCTGGGTAAATATAAGATAATATAATTTAAATACTATCTAGTTAAGTAACTTAAAATCAATAGTGTGTGTTGTACTGCTGTCTGTTATTTATCATTGAAATACATTTAATTTAATTTTAAGGAATATGATGGCTCGTTGGGTTCGCCTCGGAGTTTCAGAAAGAGTCCCTACACTCTTAAATGAAAGAAATGAAGCTCGGTCCAAGGACTATCGAATAGTGGAGCATATAATACATCCCGATTATAAGCCACCTTTGCTGTACAACGATATAGCTTTATTTCGTTTGGAACGCGAAGTCGAATTCTCCGAAAAAGTGAGACCCATTTGTCTCAACTCAGATCCATATTTAACACCAATAAAACAGATAGTTACTGGTTGGGGAAGAATTTCAACGGGTTAGTTTATAATGTTTATTTGGTAACCCTTCCCTCTCTCCTTTCCACCCCAAAAAACAGTTATCAGTAGCCACTGCGCTTAAGTGGGTCATAATTTTTTTTTATTCAAATTTTTTAGCTGGACCACTTAGTGATAATTTGTTAAAAGTGGATTTGGATATTTTTCCGGTGAATCGGTGTAATGAAAGTTATTTTTCATATAATAATCAAAAATTACGGTTTGGCATACTACCCGACAGCATGATATGTGCGGGTTCGTTTGATGGTGAAAGAGACGGTTGTTCGGTACGAACTATGAAAGTTGTAATGCTTTGTACAATTGTATATAACTAAATAATTAATTAATATCAAAATTACTGTAGGGTGATTCAGGAGGTCCACTTCAATTAGAACATGTCAACTACGGGGGCATGTATACACAATACGGGATTACATCTTTTGGGAAATTTTGTGCTGACAAGGATACACCTGGAATTTATACTAGAGTAGCCAAATACATATCTTGGATCGAAAAAATAGCGTTTTCAAATAACTAAAGATGTTTGATACAATTTAATACAAATAAATAGTTGATTTCTATTTGTTTAGATTCTGTGAGAGGAGCAATGAACATATTGGTTGTTTCAATGATTGTGTAAGTGTTTTTTTGAATGTGTACAAATACGATTTGATAAAAGTTGTTCATAAAGATATTTTAATAAAAAAATATCGAATATACATGTTTTTATTTGAAAAACTTATGGCCAGTAGCTACCACTGTAGTAGTTCATTCGGTTTTTTAAACTACAACTTTTAAGCTGGACTATTTAGTGAAAATTGTTGAGACTTAAAAGTTGATTTAAATTTTTTTTTTCCAGTGAAACAGTGCAATGAATATTAGTCTATGTACCTATGTTACGGAAAGAGTATGGAAATGAGTAATGAACTCCTTATCCACACCAACAGTGTAATGTGTATACAATGTATACAATACATATACATTATTCACTTTAAATATGTATGATGTGTACAGTTTACATATCCAGCTAATGTACACATTATCAAGTGTGCTGTGATAGAGTATGAAGTAAAAAAAACCAAATCATATTAATCCGTAAATTATTTATTAGGTTAATTAGGTGTTATTAATTATTATGAAAAAAAATAGAAAAAATTAAATATAGGTACAGTTATTTATTGGAACAGTTCAAATTCCGGTGGCATTTTGAGTGGAAGCAAAGCATTCCACTAGAATTGTTTTTACATTTATTCGATAATCATTTACTTTTACACAAACATTTTTTAAAACTTTGACCATCGGAATGAGTTTGTGCATTGGCAATCACTCACAAAGATTTTTTGAAGCCGACCCTTCCACCTAAATGGGTCCAAGGAAAAAAAATTACCATTCATTTACTGTTGAAAATAATATTTTTAAATCAACTAAATATATCATAATTATAAATACTGTGTATCTGTTAAAATAATTATTCTAATATTATTATATTACTACATATTACAGCATTGGTAAACACTAAACAATATTGTTTTTAAAACAACTACATTTGTGATGAAAATAACCAATGTAAACCAGTCGGAATATAGGATTATTGATGATCTATTTTTGCGTTAAACCAACTTTTATTATGGTTCATTTAACAAATAATCATAGTTAAAATTAAAATTTTGTAATTTTAACTTTTTAATTTGTAAAAATCAACATATAAATAAAGTTAGAATAGTATTGTTCCAATATTGAACCGTATAGCGTTTTTAAGATTATTTACTTATGTACAATTTGTCAATTGTACCTACAACGAGTTTTTTGATTTATTTTCTCCAACCAGTAATATTATATTCTTTTATAACTGTGTCGAGTGTGCTCCGTGTTCCGGATTTCGTCAACAGCTATTTTCAGGTATGTATTTTTTACTTTAATATTACTATAAACAACGGTTAAAATGCTAATATTGTATTATGGTTCAGGGCACTCCTGAAATTTTTTAGTTTATGTCTATAATTATCCTTATATTCAATAGGTAGGCACAAGTTATTTTTTTGGTCAATATTATAATTATTGAGTTAATATTTTTCATGTTAAGTAATATTTACTGCCACAAGCTAGCATAACATGAACAAAGTCACAGAAAAATATTTTAAAGGATGGGCTTTTAAAAATTTAGTCAGCCGTTTCAAAGGCATTGCAAAATCTAAATCATATTAAAATTGTAACGAAAAATGAAGGTTCTTTAAAATCAAAATTCTACATAAGTTGGTAACTGATTAATTAGATATTTGTTAAAACTATTTTAAAAGAAGAAATAGATAGAATGGTTTTTTTAGACTTAACTGAAACAATGGTAGCCAAACTGATTCCAAAAATGGGACCACAATCCAAATTTTTGAAATTTCTAAGGACTTTAAGAGAAGAAGTTCAGAACCATAAAGTTTCAATTGAAAAACGAAGCTACAACCAAACGAGTCTTGAAGAATTTATATATTACTTTTATGGAAAACGGTCCAATCGTTTTTGAGTCTACACTCTACAGAGAACGAACAAACAAGCAAACTTTCTTTTTTACATATTAGAAGATACGTATAAAAAAATAAACAGTTGGCCTCAAATTTCAGTCGAAATCAATAAAGAACTTAAGCGCATATCAAAAATACGAGTAACAATAAAAATAAATTTACCATTTTATTATAAGTTTGATAGATCGATTAATTTTAATTTAGATCCATAAAAAAAATACTCCGGTCATCAATTTACAGTAAAAATAGCAGTGTTTGCATTGGAAAAAAGAGCTTTGTATGCGACATTATATATGACAGGTTACTCCCAGAATGATATAAAATATTAAAATTATAAAAGTTTATAAGTATTTTAAGTATATAGTACTTTTTGAGCATTCATCAAAGTTTCGCAAACCAAAATTTTAATAAATTAAAATCGCATGTTTCAATAGTAAATAGGAATCGCGTGCGCTTAGTGATTAAGAGACACACCGCTAATATACAACAAATTGTGAGTTTATCCATCACAAAATATTATGACTAACGCTCGATCTTAAATTCCTGACCACACGCGTATGTATACTGCGCAGCTCAACTATAACTTTTACCGCTCACCACTACCTACTATTGTCCATAGTACCCATATATATTAGTACTCAGACAGTGTAGCGCTAGAACACAACACAGTTCCCATGGTATAAATATATACTAGAATATCATACGACGATTGTCGTTTATATAACTGAAATCGGTTTTCAGGGATTATGTATAATTATTTTTTTTGAAAATGGGAAATAACTTATTTTTTAAAGTTTTGTTATTTTGCATCACATTAATCGTCGTATGCATTTTCAACATATCATCACAACAAGTGGTAAAAAATCTTGGCTTGAACGAAGGTACGTCGATTTACTTGATACATATTGATTATTGATAAAAGTACAGCATTTGTAAATTAGTACAAACATAAAAAATCAGACAAATAAAGAATCGCAAATATTTTGAATTCAATTATATTGGTTTTACTATCAAATCTTTAATACTAAATTTAAGAATATTCAACCAACTCTATTGGTAATTTAAGTCTAAGGGTCGAACTGTAGGTTCATATTATATATAACTTATATTTTAAATACTGTTATAATTGTGCACCTCATCGGCACCTGTTAACTTGTTTTTATATCATAAGATATTAAGATCAATATTATGGCCTGCAGTTGCCGAGAATTATCCAACTATCCAAGTGATACTAAAAAATAGAATATTTACAATTTTTATGGGATTGCATTTATACGGAACTGTATGCAAGTTATATTAATTTTAATAACTGCAAAATACGGTTTTAATAAAAGAGTATAAAATAGTAACCAGACTTGTATAGAACCCGCTGACCTTAATTAATTCAAAGAATATTTTACGACGTGCGTGAAGTTGGCCCCCCCACCATGACCGATTTTTTTGAAAATTATGTACTCATTTTGCAAAT